TATATACAAAAATAACACAAGCCCCACTCATAGTTCAGGTGCCGGCAAATTCTGTGTACAAAATTGTGTCTAATAGTTAAAACTACAACGATGATAGTGTCTTTCTGAACCAGTCGGATAACCGATTCACTTTTGTCGAAAGCTCAGCACTTTTCCCAAAATACGACTCCGCATTCTCAAGCATAACCTCCACATCGTGCTTCATGGCATCCATACTTCTGTAGTAATTATTCTCCAACCTGTACAGGATAACTTGGAGAGACAATGGAACAGGGAACCTGTACAATTATATTTTAATTAGCAATACTTGCACAGGAATGAAAAATGTGACCATATCCATGATAAAATAGAAAACATGTAACTGAAAAAAATAAAAAGAAAAATAAAAAGAAACAAAGAGTCATGCCTATTGACGAAGTTTATCCTCTGAGAGACTTGTTTCAATTTGTTAACCCCATAATAATCCTGCAACAAAACCAAGGAAGTATTAGTTCCCAATCCAATCACATGGCAAATGAAAAAAAAATAAAAAAAAAAATGCCCATAAGGTCTATTTATATTGTTATTTAAGCAAAAAGAAAGATTATCTTTTCAAAGACAATCCTAATATTTTTTCCGATTTCACAAATTGCAAGAAACGGCTATTTGAATTTCAAAAGTATATTTTTTTTTTTTTTTGTTGGGAGACAAAGATATTCAAGTATAGTCTGCAATTAAACCAAAATAAAGGGAAATTTCTTTTACCTGGGCTTTCTGTCCCGACTTCTGCAACTTTGTAATAGCACGAATAAGCCTATCCCTCACATTATCATCAATATGCGGCTGCTCCCAGTGAAAGTCCGTATCATAAAGCTCCCAAGGACTATGGTGATGTGTCTCTGTAGGATCACTTTTGTACTTCACCACATACCTTTCCCAAGGGCTGTCCGGAAATTCATGAGATTTCGGTTTCACATTCAAAATCCGGCCATCCCACCAGCTCCCATCCTCTTCACCCTCATTTTTCCACCAAACCTGACACTTGTCACGCGCAGTCCAGTTCCTAGCAATTGAAGCATCAAATCTGCTTTTCTCGACAAGAAAATCTGGAAAGCCTGTCACTTCGGGTAGAGTCAATTTGAATGATTTGCCAAACACGTCAGAAGTTGTATCTGTGAATTTAAGGGTCATTTTACAGCAGCTTTCGCCTGAGCCTGAATGGGCTGAGTACTCCAAGTCTTCGACCCTACAAATTTCGACGGCCCGAATGTTGCGTTTGAAGGTCTCCCAAGGGCCCGAGATCCTTGAGTTCATGTGACTGATGTATTCTTGATGGCCCTGCGAAAAGATTCGTTAACTAAACAATGAAGTAACATATAATTAGGAAAAGATTTGCAGGGATAAGATTTCAGTTGTTGGTCTTCCCAGAAAAAAAAAATAAAAATAAAATAAAATTTGGAAATAAAACCATGGATGTCTGTATACTTCCAAGATTTTTTTTTTTTTTTTTNAAAAAAATGGGGGGGAAGTTACAAAACCCTCTTTCTATCCATGTGGAAATATTAGATGCAACTTAAAATTGTAACTGAATCAAACCCAGAAATGATTCTCTGATTTTAGTTGCTTTCAGTAAACCCATTCCAAACATCAGGGATAAGCTATTGCAATCATATTATTTTATTCAAGAGGGAAATCAATTGCTTCAGGTTGTTTAACACATTTGTCAACTTACAAGTCAACTATTTGTTGTGAAAATACAGATCTCACTCAGAAACACTTTAAGAGGAACTTGTGCTGTATAAAGATGGACTGGGGATTTTTCTAGTAAGGCTAAAACTCAGGGCAGTTTAAGTAATGTCCCAAATAAAAACAAGAGACGTCGACCTCAAAGTTGAAATTACCTGTCGAAAATAAACAACTTCATCCCCTCTTTGAGGTATATATCGGGACCCTTCCTCGTGCATAGTTAACATCAACCACGAACATTTCCCAGTTTGATTTACTTTCCTCAGAGGACTATCATCTCGAGTGTAACGACTACCCTTTTTGCTCCTAGTTGATCTTAATGGAACAGAATTTCTAGATAAGGATCCCCAC